AGTCATTCCACGTGGCAACTTGAATATAATTAACACCGTATGCTCGTGCATAGTCAAATGTAGCTTCCATGGTGTCGGTGCTGTATTTGATGGACCAGGTAGGTCCCGGCCAACCACCCTCAGAGTAGGCCGACACGAAGCCCGGGTAGGCAACGCCAAACTTCAGGGGCACTTGACTACGGAAGTGGTAGAAGTTTTTAAGGCCGTCCATGTAGTTTTGGTAGACCCACGCAAACTCCCCCTTTGCCATTTTCCCACCTTGATCAATCTGATTCCATAGGGTTAAGAAAGTGGGCGGTTTTGGCATTACAGAGTATACCTATGGGTGCGAGTAATTTGGGTCATATAATTTAAAATAGATTAATAAACAAAGTAACTTGAAATTAAAGTTAACTCAATAATAGGTAACATGTACTAATTTTATGTAATTAAATTGTAGCGTTAATCAAATCTTAATATACTGTATCGGAATTATAATTACTTAAATTATAATTTATTTGTAAAATAATTTTACTTAAACTAAATAAATAGGGAATCAATAAATTAATACAGGTAAAATTTTACATCCATTAACCTACCTGGTCCCAATCGGGACCTTGTAGTGTTTGTGGTCCAAAATCCAGTATAAGTGGCGCACCATTCAGTTGAATATAATTCTTGTTAACCATATGTTTGTCCCTCAGGTACGCCATGTCGGCTTTACCCTGCTCAATGATACTGACATTTAACTTTCCAGCATCCCTGGCCATTCCCAGGTTGTGGTCTTCGTAGACAATAGCGTAGTCCAGACCCACACGTTCACAGCCCTTAACAATAGCCTCGCAATTGGCAGCGTTTCCCGTGTAGTCCCACACTTTAGCGGTACCAGGCCAGTCGATCAACACCCCGGTCACTCCCGATAGCTTCATGAGCCCTAACTGCCAGTCGATGACATGGGTGTCGCCTGAAGCGTACAGATCGATGAGTGGGTAGAAATGGGAGGCTATTTGGCGTTTACCGGACGCGTCCTTTATTTGGGAAAAATATTTTGTAATTTATTTTATTATAAATTCAATAATTTTTTGATTTACAAACTAGGCACTATTAACCGACTAAACAAAATATATCAGCTAATTATTATGCAAACTGTATATGTGTTATAAATTATAGCATTAATTACAGACTCGATGTAATTTGATTAAAATGAATATAATAAAGCTGCCATCAGTAGAAAAAATATATTTTATTAAATATACTGTAAGTGTAATATATTTTTAACTAGATGTAATAAAGATAGATTTTTTATTTTGGTTATGAAATTTGTAATTTATAAAATAGTTTTTATTAATTAGCAATACATGATGGATTTAAATGAACCTATTTGGTCAGTTATTGTGCAAACTGTAAATTTGTATTAAATACTGTATTAAATTTGTAAAGTATATGTAAATTTAAATACAAACTATTTTCTAAGAATTTTATTTTAAACTTATTTTCAATAATTTTTATTATAAATGTGTTTCATTTGAAATATAAATTCAAACTTAAAATGCTTTAAGTTTATGA